TTGAATTTTATTCAATCCTTGCAGAAATGTACCTACTTCTTGACACATATACAGTATTTATATATATACTATTTATAAAAGGTGCTGAGTCAATCTGGTCATCAGCCAGTTTCGACTTTGTGGACAACCAGGCAGACTACGACCTCTACAAGAGCGTGAACCACCGTCAAGAGCTGGAGGAAGCTGCTGCTGAACGAGCCCTGGGGCTGGGGCACAGCAGCTTGAAGCAGAAGCCCGGCGGGTTGCGGAAACCCAGGGCCAAGTCCATGCTGGAATTGGGCAGGATGAAACAAGCCTCATCATCCAGCAGACAACAGCACAACGCCGCCGATGAGGACTGTCTCTGTTCTCGATGCGACGACAGATCCAGTTGCTACTGCTCTTGTTCTTGCTGCGAAGAAGATGATGATGATGATGACCATGACGATGATGATGATGACATGAGGTGAAATTTAGCTGGAGAAAATATGTAAAAAAAAAATGTACAGTACATCAGTGAGACCCTGAGATGGGGACGTAATTGGTGCATCAAGAGTGTCCCTAAGTCAAAATGTCCCCAAGTTGAGTCTCATTTTCCCTTAGATTTAAATTATATAATTTCATGACCGGAACTTCCTCTTCCAAGTCCTCGGCGGGTTCTTCCGGCCCGTTTTCCCTCATCAACCCCAACATCACGTTGCCAACCCCTCCGACCCCGTTGCCGGATTACTCGGATTCCTCGTGCGACGACGACGAGGACGTCGACGAGAACGGGGCTCGTCGACACCACCACCGACGACGTCGACGGCGGGTGAATGCCAGCAGCATCAGTGACAGTGTCGACGACGACAGCGACACCAGCAGCAGCAGTTTCCCGTCGGATATCGAGAAGCCCAGAGTGAAGCGGTCCCAGCACAAGAAAATTCATGCTGCTGCTGCTTCTGCAGCTGTTGTTGGCAAAGATGCTCAAAAGGTGTCTGTCAGGAAAGTCAGTTGTTCTTGTTTGTTTTGCAACAACAGCAACAACTACAAACATAAAACAATACCGTTTTGATACCTGTACTATTGAGGACAAATGTCACCAATATAATTTGATGTCAAGTGCAAATAAATGAAACGCAATAATCAGTCTGGGACAAGACCGGGAATTCCCTTAAGGAAATTCCTAGTTTAAAAGAGGTAAATATATTTCACAAGTATGACTGAATAAACAACTCCATCAAACTCAACTTGTAGGAATAACTGGAATAACTTGAGTAACACAACTGATGAACTGATTGATTGATAAATATGAAAAGGAGCTGCTTATATACTACTAATAATATTTAACCTTCAATAGGTTTTACTTCCAGAATCATAGCAAGACAGATAGTGTCAAGGATGCTACAGTGCCAGGTTTTGAGGAGGGGGAATATTTTGTACTTCTAGGAATTGCTTGTAAAGTACATTACATTACTTTACACAGCGTGCATGCCCAACATCCACTGTATATCATTATTCCAATTTGTTCAAAAATGGATGGGTTTTTATAAATAGGTGTAGAATCCACATTATTGTGGCTTGGAGTTTTTCTTTACTGTTATATGTACCTAGATGAGTGGAATTGTGTTGGAGTTGAAGTGCACTTATCATGCATATTTTATGTTGAATCTTTGAAAGGCTGTATTTTTCATTAATAAAGATGGTGGCATTTTTTTTTGACAAAGGCAAGTGTGAAGGTGTATGTGATGCATGACAAAATTTGAGGGGTCAAATGTGCCCTTGAACTTCTTAATTGCAAACTTCAATAAGTGGATTGACAGAAAAAAATTGAGATAAGAAGGTTTTGAGTTGAGCATTTGTGTTGAGGGAGGGGGGGGGGAAGAATTGCAGGAAATTTTAATTGACAATATTCCAGAACTGAAATTCAAGCATAAAGTTTGCATGTCAGCATAATAAACCAAGTATCCATAAACAAGTACAGTACTTTCTTTCTAATGGTCTAATTGAAATATAGTACTGCTTTTGAGGATCTTTTTTTTCAATGGTTGGTCATGTTTTTCATGAATGGAACTTCATTGTAAAATGAGATTCAAACTTTGGGATTTTTTTTTTTTAGATTTGAAAGCTATTGAGGCTAATCTTTCTGAGGTGAACTTTTTTCTAGACCCTCAGGGCGTTCAAAAATAATTTAATGCGTCAAACTTCTGCTGAATGAATTAGATTTCATGTGAAGTAATCTGTCCCCTTTGACTTTTTTTTTAATCTTCTGGATTCCAGACATGCTTTTATTTTCAGTTGCCAAATTTTTGTTCAAGACATTTTAACCATTAAAATTTGAATGTCAAGCATTCAAAATTGTTTGCGAGATTCTACACATGTGAAAAATATGAATGGCACTTGAATGGTTTCCAGAAATATGCTGACTCTGAAATTAATTAATTTTTTTCTTCTCTTTTCAGCAGCAGCAAAAACAGCGTCAGGAAGGCAGAGAATCTTCCTTCTCCGACGATTCCTTGGAATCCAGCGAAAGAAGGCGAAGACGTGCTGCTTCCAGATCAGCCTCTCTGCAGCATCAAAATTCGTCCACCAACAACAAAATTCCCAGTACAGCGAATGTCAAGAGAACTGACTCGGTGCAAGACACTGCAAAAATTGGCAGCAGGAACAACAAAAATGGAGGCGACAGCAGGAAGAAGAACGTCAATAAGTCGGCTCCTCCTTTGGCAGACTTGAAAAAGTTGGAACAGGATGAGAACTTGTCCACTTTGCGCAGTGACAAAACCACAACTGGTGAATTTTTATTTGACTATACAGTACAGTGAAATCTCGTTACAACGAAGCACTTAGTGATGTGAGGGGGAAGCTTGAATAATGAGATTAATTCGTTGGAAAGCGACTTGAATAACATTTTTGCTTTTCATCGGCATCAGGGACCGCCTGAAAAAAAAAAAAACTTCGTTGTAACGAATCATTCGTTGTAATGAGATTCTCCTCTATGAAGTTAAAACAACAGAATAAACTTTACTGAGGGTATACGCTGTTCATAATCTTTTTGCCGAGAGAGACACAATTTGGAAAAAAAAAATTATTTAGGTTTGTTTATTGAAAGAACAAGAAATATCCATGTTTCCTGATTTTTAAAATAAAAAGAACTCTTTTCTGAAGATTAAAACTCGCTTCAAATTTCCTCAAAACAATTCAAGATTTTTTCTCTTAATTTGAAACTACTGTATGTGATTGCTTTTTTATTCAGGTTTTTTAATTGTCTGATTGTAGCCCAACCAAATCGTTGAATTTTATTCAATCCTTGCAGAAATGTACCTACTTCTTGACACATATACAGTATTTATATATATACTATTTATAAAAGGTGCTGAGTCAATCTGGTCATCAGCCAGTTTCGACTTTGTGGACAACCAGGCAGACTACGACCTCTACAAGAGCGTGAACCACCGTCAAGAGCTGGAGGAAGCTGCTGCTGAACGAGCCCTGGGGCTGGGGCACAGCAGCTTGAAGCAGAAGCCCGGCGGGTTGCGGAAACCCAGGGCCAAGTCCATGCTGGAATTGGGCAGGATGAAACAAGCCTCATCATCCAGCAGACAACAGCACAACGCCGCCGATGAGGACTGTCTCTGTTCTCGATGCGACGACAGATCCAGTTGCTACTGCTCTTGTTCTTGCTGCGAAGAAGATGATGATGATGATGACCATGACGATGATGATGATGACATGAGGTGAAATTTAGCTGGAGAAAATATGTAAAAAAAAAATGTACAGTACATCAGTGAGACCCTGAGATGGGGACGTAATTGGTGCATCAAGAGTGACCCTAAGTCAAAATGTCCCCAAGTTGAGTCTCATTTTCCCTTAGATTTAAATTATATAATTTTTAATTGGTGTTTTATGGACAAAATACTCACCATAATTCCATGAAAATAAAAATTGTCTCTCAATTGCAACTAACGTATTTACTCAAGTACCACACGCCCTCAAGTAAGATGCGCGCAGGGGTTTTTCAGTTGAAAATTTTGCTAAAATCTTATCCCTGAGTAAGACGCACACCCCAATTTTTATGGAATTTAAAACCACAAAATTTTGAAAATAAGAACAAAAAATTTGACTTTAGGCATGACTTGAACCAAAATCTGATCAATTTTCAACTTTTTCAGTACAAAAAAGTTTTCTTATTACATTTGTTCCAAAATTTCTCCATTATCATTAAATATAATGCACACATAACTTCCTAAAACTCCTTGAAAAATTTGTACCCACTTATGACGCGCACCCCTTTTTTTCTTCTGAAATTTGAGAAAAAAGGTGCATGTGGTACTTGAGTAAATACGGTATATTTCAATCAATATATTTCAATGCAATATGGATATTTTGGGAATTGAATAATGATACCTCTGTACAACATAGAAATGTTGGCATTCTCTGTGTAAAAATAACAGTCAAGTGAAAAAGAGAGAAGGAAGTCCCTGTATGCTGGAGGTAATTTTTCAAAATTAGCTGATTGAATGGTAAATTGGTGGGAAAAATGCCCAAGAACTTTTTCTTACATCAATTTTAGGGTTTAAAATATCTGTTTCTTGTAATTTGGCCTGAAACTTATCTACAGTTTTATCACAAAATGTCCCTATGTTGAGTCTGTGTCCTGATGTTGCGCCTTTTTTATTAATTTTTTATGGGAAAATAATTGTCCCTGTGTTGAATTGTCCACATGTGGGGGCCTCACTCTATTTGATCATAAACTGACACAGCAGCCTGGTTTCACATAATTTTAAGAATTTTTTCCTGCTTTTTCTTCAGAATTCTTGAAATTGACACGGCATTAATTCCAAGGACAGTTAGACAGTTTCCTTATTGTTGGAAATCAGCCGTGTCAAATGTTTCATCATTTTATTTCGTTATACGAGTGCAAACATTTTTTATATTGATTGATGCACAGTATATTTTAGAAATCATTTTGTGCAATTTCCGTGTGATTTGATTTTTTTTTCAAGCATGATAACTCAGAAATCTGCAATTTTTGAAGCTTGAAATTCAAGTGGTTGCAATAGCCAATTAATTATTGACGAAATCGGAGAAGTTCAAATATTTTGACACTGGATTGATCATTATTTTTTTCTCAAACGGTTTTCTTTCTGAACGTCCAAAAATCCTTGCCATGTTTACCATTTTAATTGTTGAAAATATTCCTTGGCGGGAAAGAAGAAAAAAAACACAAGGATCCAACATTTGAATTGAAGAATCACCCGCCCCTGAATTTCTTCTGCATGAATCATAGTTCAAAGAAATAGTTGTCTAAATAAAAAAATAAATATTCTTGGTCAACCGCATTTTTCCACTTTCGTGCATCGAAAAATGCGCTTTTCTTTCTTTACATATATTCGCAAAAAGACCTATGTAGAAAAATGATTCTGCTTTTCTTTCCTTTTTCGTATACTGAATTCTCATCATTTTTGAATGCGCAGGCAGTATATTTAAATTTATTTGACCCTTTTCCCATCAGTGACACTGGAACGATTGTGAAGCAGCGGTTGATGAACAAGACGATCGCGGACAAGATCCCCGCTGGACTGCTGAATGCGAGCAGGAGGATCATGCCGCAAAAAATTGCACTTCCCGCGCCGAATCTGCCTCCGCAGCTGCTGATGACGAGCCACAAGCACGAGGATCGGAATTCCTTGTCGTCTATCGACAGTGGCACCAAGACCAGTTTCAGCGGCTCCAACAAGAGTCCGAGTCACTCGTCTCCGTCTTCCTCGCCGGGTAATATTCCATCATTCAAGCCCTGAAACGCTGATGATGATTAATTATCATACATTTCCTCGTGTTTATTTTTAATTTTTGGGTAAGTGTCAAGGCATTATTTGCAGCATATTCGTTAATCGTTCTGATTTTAATTTATGCTCGTTTAGTATCTCTCAATTCCTCGGGCAAACGGAAATAAGTTTCAGAGTTTTCAGTGCTGGCCTTAATTTCCCTCTTAATGACATATACAGTATTCGTATTTGAGCTATTCCACGTGAACGGCAAACGTAACTGGATTCCGCAGTTTCGGGAAGTGATGCACAGGTGTCGCACGGTTCCTAGGGCGGATAATTGAGATGGACGCTTGTGTTATTTAGAAATTCTAATAAACTTTGTAGTTTTCACATGTACATTGAAAGATGAATTCCACTTTTTTGGAAGTTTTACTGGATGATTGACTGAACAGCAAGTTTTATTCTCTACTTTTCAGTGATCACAAGGTTCAATCAACATTCCCACATCCAAACCCCCTCCCCACCCAACCCAAATCCATTCAAAGACATTCAATCACCTCGGAATGGGAAAAAAGATAAATAAGCTGTAGATGGATGCCAAAATAAAAGTAGAATACATTCCGCAATGTACAACTGCACAACTGATGTGTGTATGCGTATACCCACTTTCTTAACCCTTGTGTGGCAAAGTTGGGATATTTTTGCAAAATTTTGTGCCACTGGGCATTGGGAATAAAAAAAAAACCCTACTTTTGTATGCATGCCTGAGTTGGGAAAAAGTTCAAGGATTTTTTCTAATCCTGCCAAAAAATGTAAATGAAAATTTTTAAAATCCCTCACTGGGTGGCCTTTTTTTCTTGCATTCCTGGCATAGGATTTGCATGGAAAAATCTTGAAAACAAAAGACAATTTTCCTCCAGGGTTTTTCCTGACTTAGGCCTCCTCAACCTCAGTGCATTTCAGTAACCTTGGGTCAAACTGAAATGCGCTGCCCCTTGGAAAAATCTCAACTCCACTGCGCACTGAGAAAGAACCCTCTGCTGCCCAAGGGTTAATTCCCTGACATTGAAAACAAAATATCACTAACAAGAATTGCAGCATAAGTTTTAACGTCTGCAGTGGGAGGAATGACCAGTAGGATCCTACAGGGGTCTGGGGGGGAATAATAAGGACGTCATGTAACGTGTGTCTGTGGCCTTTTGCACCTTGAATTAATTTGCCTCCTTGAAAACACATCAATTAACATTAAGTTGTCAGGATGGCCAAGCGGTCTAAGGCGCTGCGTTCAGGTCACAGTCTGGTTCTGCAGGCGTGGGTTTGAATCCCACTTCTGCAATCGTTTTTTAATTTTTTTCGTTTTTTTGTTTGCACTGCTGACGCTCTACTACTTGATGATGAAAGAAAGAGAAAGAACCCCTTGATGACCCACTCATCATCATCCTGATACAGCAGTACATGTATATTTAATTCTTCACAGGAATCGGCGACTGTGTCAAAGAACAGCTCAACAACAACTCGTCCAACAGCAAAAACAACAACAACAACATCATCAATACCATCGGTGGGAACAACAGCAATAATACGAAACCTCGTCGACGCTCAGCATCCTCTTCATCATCTTCTTCCTCCTCCTCCTCATCATCTGGCTCCGACTCCAACTACAACTCTGACGACTGCCGACGCCGCCACAACAACAATAACAACAGCAACGGCGGCACTAAAACCGTTGACACCCGGCTGAGCGACAGCCTCGAGGGTTCGTCGTCGTCCACCGGCGGCAGCGGAGGCGGGGGCGGCGGAGGAGGACGCCATCAGAAGCAGTTCGACCTCGTTAAACAGCTGATGGCTGAGGGCAAGATCGAGGGCATCGACGACAGCCCGCCGAGTTTCGCGCCGCCGCCACCGCCGCCTCCGAAACCCGCGCGCACCAGCCTCTTGCTCACTAATAATAATAATAATAATAATAAACACCAAAGCCAGCAGCAACAACAACAACAACAACAGCAGCAATTCCCGCAAGATGGCGTGACTAGGATGGCGAATTACTTCGAACAGAACAACAGTAGTAGCCAACAACATCAACAAAGGATGATGAGGGACTCGAGAAGAAACAGCGCTTGTCTCTCTACTGCTGTCGGTGGCAACACTCATCATGCTGGCAATAATAATAATAACAATAACAATAACAAAGAAGAACCGGCGCCATTTGTGTCGCTGGACAACAGCAGCAGCACTAGGGGATCCACCAGCAAGAGCAACAATAACAATGCTCAGCAGCAGTGAGTGATTGTGCCTCAGTTTACAGACTTTACCATTACAACACATTTTTTCAGTATAACAATCAACTTCTCAAGTACTGAAAAAAAGCCCATTGATCAGTGTTCCCAATCTGTGATCTCTGCAAATAAGGTTGTTGCCTGTCATATAGTAGGAAATTTTCTTCAGCATAATAAAGTTATTAAAAGTATAGCAAGGAAGTATGTTATCTTAAACTGAAATTTTGGAGAGATAATGGCTGTTGAAATTATCTGATGTAGTGTAGGGGAACCTCTTGAACGTTCCCTCAAAGACCAGTGAAGGTCAATTATTCTGGTTAACCTCATGACCTTCTGGAATGAGATGCAGTTAACTTACTCTGAGCCAAAAGAGAGCATAATAAACCTATAATCCGCATTACTGGTGGCAGCAGTTCTCTTTCAAGTAACCAGCCCCAAATATTACTCATGTCCAACCCTGAAAAATAAAAGCTGGCTTTTCTCCTAATAACACATCAGGCAAAGTTTCACTTTCTGGGATAATAAATTATTTTAATACTTAATTCTGAGAAACCTTTATATTCAAGTCCACCTTTCTAATTTTTTGAAGAGATTCCACTGAAGCTGCTTCATTGTTTCTTGACTTCATGCTTTTTGGAAACCTTCTAAATACCTTTCATGAAGTCTTCCTAAAAAACTTTTTTGGGGCTGCAAAAAAAAAAATGTATGAAACTTTGGTGGTCTGCAGAAAAAGTGTTCGAAATTTGCCAGTCAGCAAAAAGTCTTGAGGAAATGTATGTGTCCACAGGCCCAAAAATGTTGAGGAATGCTGCCATAGAGCATATGTTGAAACAATCTTGTTATATTAAACTTCCAAATTCCAGCATAGCAAACTTTGTTCAGGAATGTTTAATAGATTGTCCTGGTAGACATCTCTTGACTATGGCAGGCCCAGTCCAAAATGTGCAATCCCGCAAATGTGACTGACTGGTTCTTGTAGCATAATGGATGGAAGCTGTAATCAATGAGAAACCTACTTTCAACAAGTGATTCCTCTTATCATCCTTTCAGAATGAAGGCATTGGTGGTACATCTGATAGAATGAATGATGGGAACTAATTTTTTTTTTAGAAGATTGCTTAGTTTTTCAAACATTATCAAAATAATCTGGCAATATCAGAAAAGCAAGAGCCAATGGATTATAGACAGCTCTGATGTGAACATATTTTCTGTCATTGATTTTGAAAGTCTTGTAAAAAAAAAAGCTGGTGCAATTTTGTCAAGTTTTTCATGTCTGGATGTATGTCAAATCATCTGTATTATTTTAGATTAGGATGTCCATCATGTCTCATGGTGACACTGTGTATATAATAAATCAGGATTTGAAGTGGACTATACTGGAGTACATTGAGACCCCAAGATTTGGACATGATTGGTGCTTGGACCTTGCCCATATGTCAGAATGTCTGCATGTTGAATCTCATTCCCCCATAGACTTCAATGGGAACTTATTCAATTATTTCTCCAGTTCATTAAAAATTAGGTATTAATCCCCAAAAAATAAAATAAAATTTGTTTCTCAACTTTAAGATACAGAATATATCTGAGCAGAAGATTGCCAGTTTATCACACAGCAGAATCTGATTTTCTGGCATCAAGAGGGACCAAAAAAAACCAAACCAAAAGTACAAGTCTTGCTATACTGTGCACAGATCATGGAAAAAGAAGCACAAAATTACCCTGCTTTCAATATATATACTGTATACTGAAAATCATTTTTAAATTCTGTGAATATAAGTACATTAGCTAAATTTGTTCAAGAAATGTCCAAATTTTGAAAATACATTTTTTCTATTTTTATAGATATGTTTGATTAGTGTCCATATGTCTAGATATTTTTCAGATGCCAGGTCAGACTTTTTGCAGTTCAAGTTTCCCAGAGTGGCATTGTCTCTATGTCTGGGTGTGTTTATTTTGGGGTCTTACTGTATACACTTTAAAAATTAATTATACCCCTGCTGAACATGGCATTTTTGACTGAGGTAATTTGCTATAACCACAAGAAGAAAATTATTTATGCATTTTTCCTTTTCTTTTTTTTTTTTTACCCCACAATTAATAGGAGGAACAGGGAGGACCAAGGCAGTGTGCAAGTGAATGAGAGGATCCTCGCGGCGCACAAGCGACACCTGGAGAGCAAGGACCAACC